AAAAAAAAAAAAAAAAAAAAAGTTCATCAAAAAAATCTGAAAAAAAAGATATGTTATGGAAAAAATTAAATTAAACAAGATTTCCCTGAGCATTACATCCGAATTCCTTACCAAATTTGAAATAAAAATAAAATACGGAAAACAAATACTAATAATAAAAAATAAAAAAAAAGAGAAATAAATTTAGTGAGTGCGCGAGCATGTTTTCGACACCGCCATCTTTGGCGATTTTTCAAATTTTTTTTGGCATAGCTAAATGCCCTGAAAATTTACAGATGTGTACTTCACATAATACAAAACCCACTAAAAAAGTTTCAAAATATTATAAAATTGTTTAGACTCCGAACTAAACTGAAAACAAAAAGCAAAAAGTGAAAAAATACGTGGGCGAGCACGTTTTGACACTGCCATCTTTGGCGATTTTTAATTCTTATTTGGCTTAGCCAAATGATTTGAAAATTTACAGTTATTTACCTCACGTCATAGAGAACTCACAAAAAAAAAACAGAAAAAAATAATTATTTTTAGGCCCCGAAATAATTTTTGGCGGGGGCCGAACGCCATCGGGTTCGGACCCCGTACGGGACCCCGAACGCCCGTACGTACGGAGGTCTGCCCGGGGACCTCCGTACGTATGGGCTGGTGACCCTGTTCACAGTTGTAATTATTTTTTCTAATTTATTGAGTGTTTTTCCTGGAAAGATCACAACGAAATCTACGAGTACTCCAATTTTCAGGTTTTTCACACATTCTTCTAATTGTGAAAACTCACTGATTTTGGAGTACTTTTTCAGTTGGCCCACACATGGCCGAGTGGCAAAAATGGAAAATGTGCCGAATAGGTTCGACGATTATTTTGCAGTCTAAATGGTTTTTTGATTTTTTTTTTTTTAAATAAAGTCCTTGAGCCATCCCTCTATCCGGACAGTGATACGAGAACCGCCAGAATTGAGGGTTTGTCTATCGGGCTGCTCCATGTATTGGTGGGGAGAGGCACCTGCTGGAAACCGGGTCCAGCGTCACATTGATACATCACGTAACACAGCAATAGAGATCATTATTTCCTGGAGCTATGGTTACTTATCTTGTTTGTCCTGGGCTCCATTGTCCCATGGAGCTGCTAGTGACACCCATCCCATCATGGAGCACCTTTTGTCTATTAACCCTGCCCCGTTCAACAACCCCCTAATGATTTTCCTTGCCTGACTTTTATAAACTACCTTTTAAACCCTTTAAACCTTTTACTGTCGTTACTCTTCTGCTTAAACCCTTTGAACCCTTTACCCATTCCACTCACTTGCTTAACATTTTCTCGATCCTTGAGGCCTATAGATCAGAAGATGTG